AGGATGATGTTTATAGGATGTTAATTCTAAGAAAAGGGTGGTAGAATTTGTAAGCCAAACCTATATAGCTAAGAACAAAATAATCTTTTAAGCATTGGGAATGTTTTAGAAATATTTCATTACAGGAAAGCTTTTAGTTTGTAAAATCATATATGGAGACTACATTTTTATTCAAATGAACTGAAGTTGACATTCTGCAATTCTGGAAAGCATATGGGATAATGTTTTATGAATATGCTTCCAAATATTTTGGCTTACATTTACAGTACTGCCTGTGATGCAGCATCAAGACATTTGGTGATGGTTTTAACTGTGTAACAGTTTTCTATCGCCGTATAACAAATTACCAAAAACTTAGTGGCTTAAAACAATACCTATTATGTCATCATTTCTGTGGGCCAGAAGTCCAGGCATGACTCAGGTGGCTTCTCTGCTTAGGACCTCACAGGGCCATGACCCAGGTGCCTGCCAGACCTACTGTATCATTTAAGACTCAGCATCCCATTCCAAGTTCACTGGTTGTTGGCAGAATTCAGTTTCTTGTGGCTGCAGTGCCGACGTCCTCAGCTCCTAAAGATTGCCTGATACTTCCTACTACATGACTCTCTCAATAGGGAAGTTTACTTCTTCAAGGCCAACAGCATAGCTTTCTGCTAGTTTGAGCCTCTGAGTTCTACATCTTCTTTTAAAGAGCTCACCTGATTAGGTCAGGACCACCCACAGTAAACTCCCTTTAATTAACTTAAAGTCAACTTATTAGGGACTTCACTTACACCTGCAAAGTCTCTTCACTTCTGCTGTATGACATAGTACAGAAGTCTCGAAACTGATATCCATGAAGCCCACAGCAACACAAAGACTCTCCTAGGGGTGTGTGGGTGTGGATAGCCTAGAGGTTCAAATTCTAGCTCCTTTACTTCCATATGAATTCTTGCCCCAAATCTTCTGCTTGAAGTGAATGTGTTCCTAAGGAGTTAGTCAAGTTCAAAATCCTTCCTTCCCATTCACAATTTCCCTTTCTTACTTTACTGAACAAAGGCAAACTGCCCGGCCTTCCTGAATTTTAATGTGGTGCATTGTCCTGGGGTATAAAAACTTTGGCGACACTAAACCAAGAGACCTTTGAAAATACTATATATTCATGCTGCTTATCACTTATGTATTAATAATAGTTACATAACTCTATCCAGAATATATACATATATGTGCATGTGTGTATATATGTGTGTGTGTGGTGTATATGTCTATTTATCTCTTAGAATTCTGTGGTCACAAGAAATTTAAATAATTAATTTTGAAATATAAAAATCTTTCAGAAAAGTATGATGGGGTGAAGAATAAAAGTCTCTCCAACATAAAATACATTAAATTCAAATGACATTCCATAGGTAAAGTGGAATGGAAAAAAAAATGATTCAAGGAGAAAAAGAGCTTGATAATGTACACTTATCCAGGAACAGGTAGGTATCAAATCACTCCAGTATTTAGAGTCCATTCATCCATTCAAAAGTGTGATATAAAAATTTTGGTTTCAAGATGTCAGTAGTTAACATATGCTAGAAATCACATCTTTTGCAGCTATTTAAACTTGCCCTAAAAAATGTAGATGTCAACTTAAACACATGTGAGAGAACATAATTATTTTCTCAAAATTCTTTTAGTAACAGGAACAAAAAATAAAAGCAAAACCAAAAACACTACCACCAGCTGACGACCACTGAACCAGAAGAATTATTGTACATTCCCAGTAATTGGCATGGAGAGGGCTGAGAAAGGAGGCAGGTGGGTCTGAGAAGAGCTAATTTGAACAGGCTGCATTAATTCAGTCACGTGAATTAATGCAGCAAGCAGGGAGAATAACAAGGCGAGGAAGGGTGGGAACAATATTGAAGAGGTTGGGTGTCCAATACATAATGACAAATTGGATGTAGCGGGAAATGAGATAGGGAAAGAGGAAAGTCTTAAATATTTTTTAAGTTATTGGATAGATGATGCATATTTGAGAGAGATGTAACTTTGAGGAGAAAGGTAAGAAAGTTCTTCTTGTGTCGAGGTGTAGGTGTTTGATGTCTGTGCTCAGAGCACATCTAAGTTCAGTCTTTTCTGAAGCTCATGCAAAATCCTAAGTAAATAGTGACAGCCAAAATCTTTGCAGAGCACCAATTCCAGGGGGCATACAGAAAACACAAAAAAGATTGGCAGTCCCCTTTCCATAGGATTTATTCAATACATATTTACTGTCTAGTTCTTATACCTGAAACACTTTTCTAGATTCTGGGGATATAGAAGTGAACAAAACACTCCAAGGCTTATGATAAAATTGAAATTTCAGATCGTTGGCTCTGACTAGTAAAGTAAAAGCTGACATTGCCTTGACATGGGCATATTCACACCTTTCAGAACCAAGGTATTGAATACTGCACTCTGTTCCTTTTATTTATTAAATAGCTGAATGAACCACAGATTTGTTCCTGTCACTTTGCTTCCAACTTTTAATCGTACATTCAGTGAGCACATCTCTGAAAGTGTATTTGGGCCGCAGTGTTCCATTATTGGCTTTCTCGGTTATCCTCCACACCATATTCCTCAGAAGGTGATTTCTACCCAAATGGCAACCACTCACAAAGATTCTGGCTATGTACCTTTTAAAAAATGTATTACAATTTTATTTGACAATTATACCTCAAGAAAGCTGAAAAGCGGTTTCAAAATTTTATGAACAGTTTGCCTCCTCCTGAATGCGTCCGGAACAGTATAATGTGCATATATCCAGTTCTCTTCTAAGAATTACTGAATCAAAAGCACAGGGGTAGAAAAGAGGGAATTGGATGTGTTAAAGTTGCCATAAGGTTTTAGCATACT